GAATATGTATGTATTTCAAGAAGTGTATGGAGTCATTTTGCATGTGAAACATCATGATATACATTCTTGTGCTGATTGATTCCGCGTAGAATCTGCTGAACGATTGTGTGCCCGTGTGGGGTGTGAGCAATCCATAAACATTGCGTGCCCGTGTGGGGTGTGAGTAATGGGTGAACATCATGTGCCCATGTGGGGTGTGAGCGATGGTTCCAATACGTTCCTGAGTGAACTTGAGATGATTGAGTCGGTACCGCATGTGCATCTGCATAGAGTCGTGAGTCGGTTTCTATGAGTTGCATTTATCATCATGAACTGTGTATTGGTAAATAAACATAATTGTAAATTTTTATGTGGAGTGATGAATATGTTTAGTGTGAATATATACATTGTGATGTATATGAATGAATGGTGAATATATGCATGATGAATATGCTTGGTGAATTATATATATGTTGCGATATGTACATGATGAATTGTTACGAATTGTGGTGAGAAATGTGGAATATGTGTATTCTATGTTTGTGCATATATATATATATATATATATATATATATATATATATATATATATATATATATATATATATATATATATATATATATATATATATATATATATATATATATATATATATATATATATATATATATATATATATATATATATATATATATATATATATATATATATATATAATTATATGCATTGATTATTATGATAATATTTCTCACCCTTCTGCTGTTTTATGATGCTCTATGAGGCATTGCAGAGTAGGATTGGTGGAGGTCTTTTTGTGAAGCGTGACTTCATTCTTTTGGTCGGTTGACTCTGATATGTAGCACCAGGTAGCTAGGATTGTATAGAATTCTTTTGTGATACATTGTATATGTATCTTGTTGATGGAATGTTTATGAAAACATGTTGAATATGGTTGAATCAAACTGGTTGACATATATATGATCATATGTTTTGATGTTATTCAATGTTTAGATTTTCCGCTTTAATTCTAAATATTGAGATGTGAGTGTAAGGACTAAGTTCCTATGTTGCAAGTTACCCCATTGTTGCATATCGATCGTTGAGCAGGTGTTGGATGTTTTAATTTCATGTATAATGTGACATACCTCTTTTATACCATGTTTTGATTATACTCTGATGGAAAATTTTAATATGTGCCTAAATGATTTAACTGATTATTTAGGGGTATAGAAAGGGGGTATTACATTAGGCACACTCGCCCAACTAGATATGTGCGGAAAGTGCTGGAGAATCCAAGCCTGAAATGAAAAGTTAATAACACACGAATCATCAGTAATGGCTTTACAAATAAGAAATTAAAATAAATAAAAAATATTCAAAGACCAATAATTATTACCATCAATAGTATCACGCTGCCTATGACATGCTTCATCTTCCACATGCAACCCTCTATCAACTTCAAATATAGGTAGACCAGGAAAGCCGCCCCCCAGTTGCACTCATGGATCCGCTCGAAATCCAAGAAGTACCGTAGGTAGACGACATTAGTATAAGTGGCACTCTTGCCTATAAAAATTACAGTGTCAACCAAAAAAGAAAGTATGCTCTCAATGCATGCGATCTGTGAACTGCCACCTGCTTATCATCACCATGATCCTGGTCTGCTCTTTAGATCTCAGCCACATAGATCTTCCTCAGGAACTCAAATCTAGCACGAGCACCTTTGGTCCTATCAATCTCCTCTATCGTCTCCCATATGTTATCCCTCAAATGCTCTACCATTATCTCGACTACCTCCTATTTGGCAATCCTCCCATGATCGAGGAATCTCCCCCTAATCAGAATATTTAACAAACACGAGACATCGTTGAGTGTGATAAACATCTCACCATATAAGAGATGAAACAACGAGGTCTATAGTACCATCTCTCCACTAATGTATTAAGCATCATGTGGTTGACCAGAGTGTAATTGGTCAAGCACAAGTCCTTCAGACCAAATAAGGACAAAACCGACTGAAACCAATATGCCTCCTGCTGAGGCAACACAACAATCTTTTTTCCGTGGTTAAGAAACTTCTGGGAATCACGCTCTTAAAGTTTTTCACAAATAATCAATGTCAAGAATCGTCAATGTTAGAAGTTATCAATGTTAGAAATTAAAAATAACGCAAGAAAAAAAAATCTAACTAATGCTAACTCTCCGTCCCAGATATGTCTGGCAGTATGGTCTGGATATAGAGGCAGTAAAGACAAATCAAATGGACCTTCTCCAAAAGCCTCTGGCTCAACATCCGCAACAGCCTCACCCTTCAGAGGTGGCACTAGATCAACAACATCATCAATATGAAGTGGGACTAGATAAGCAATATCATCTATAAGAGGTGGCACTGATGAATCCTAGCGCATGTGGGAAGTGACGTGTCAGATGGTGAATCCCGTCTTCAATAGGAAGAAGAAGGTGGAGTGACTTGAGGAAAATCACGAGCCCTAGAAGTAGACGACTTTGCCTAACCAGAATGACCTGGAGCTTCAAGAACCTGGTGGTTCTTCTCCCGTCAAATGGATGCGTGCTGAGCAACCTTGCCATGGTTTAATCTGTCATGTCTATCATCCATTATCCTTGTAAGTTAAAATAAGACATACCATTAGTGCACAAAAACAACACATAAGCAAAAAAGTTAAAAAAAAATATACTGCGAGAAATTCCAGAGATGCATCTACGGAAGCACCATGAAACTAAAACATTGAAATTTTTTGGAGATGTATCTCTGAAATTTCCTACAGAAAATTAAACGTTGAATTATTCTGGAGATATATCTCTAGAATATTCTGCGACTCAGAATAGAGTTAATGGCGTAATGTACCACTTGTAAGGTCAAAAAATTTGTTATGTTCACCATTTTCATCCAACAAACAACAAATACACTATGTCTAAACTATGACAGATGTGATGTCTACTCATTTTTAACCTTTAAACATTGATTTCTACTCATTTACACCAAAACTCAAACATTTATCAAAAACTCTAAAAACTTACTTGAAATTGATGTTTTTGATGAAGTTGGACGATCTTACAGATGAAGATTGATGTTTCCTTGAGTTTTCTTGAGCCTTGTTTGATGAAAATTGATTTAGTGTAGAGTAGAGTATCGAGAGAGTTTGAAGTTCTGGTTGAAGAGATGTGAAATGAGAAAGAAAAGTGTCTAACGCGACTTATGCTCCAAAATGTTCTAGAAATAGAGGGCATTTGTGAAAATTCACACAATGCTGTAGAAAGACTTAGGTTCCATAAGAAATTCTCTCTCTCTCTTTTTTCATACCATTATGCAAATTATTAATCCAAAATTAGAAGAAAAAATAATTAAAGCCCAATAGTCCTGATATCTCCCAAAAACATGATAGCTACTTCCTTTTACTCCATCCCATGGCACGTCAAAGAAGGTGGTGTACTTCGACAGTCACTTGAAATTGGCACCTAAGAACAGAAATCGAGCCCATCATCGTCGATTTCAAAGGAAATAAGGGTGTCCTGATAAAATTTGAAGGGACAATGCTCTAGATCGAAGATTAAGAGGGTCGATTTTGAAGGAGGTGGAAGTGATGGTGTTTCCGCCATGGCTACTATTAAAAAGGGAACGGAATCAGAATCGCAGAGAATAAAAGCGTGAATGGTTGGAATTAGATTTGGATGAAGTTTCGTTTTCTCCTTTTCTACCACTGTATGCATCTTTGATTCCTCAGCAGTTGCAGAAACAGAGAATTAGCTTTCATTGGTGATACGGTAATTGTTTGGTTTAAAATTTGTGATGCATTTGTGGCTTCTTTGTCTCTCTTTTTCGTCCCAAAAATTCATGTGAAATTGTGATTGTTTTCAAAGGATTTGGATTCAGCCAGACAATCGTCAAATTTTTGCGGTGGAGCAATGACTCTATTTGGATGGAGGTTGATAGTTGTATGATCATGAAGGTAGTGATGACAGTAATTATAGGGAGGGTAATTCATGGCAATAAGAGCACAACTTCTCACTAGATCCTTCTATAGAGTGATGACTCACCACCATTAATCCTAATGAGATTATAGAACTTGGGCTTGGACCATTACAAAACCATTTAGAAAAATTTAAACTTTTTCCTCTTTTTAGAAGACACGTCCTTTCTTAAATTAGGATAACTACTAATTCTCTAACAAATATCAATCGGTGATCATAATAATTCTATTCAATTATGTTAAAATTGCATAATTATTTAATAAAAAATATATCTTACACTATTTTTAATATTTAATTTTAAATATATCCCTTACACTTTATATTATATTGATCTTATATATATTTATAAGTATTTAACATAATTAAATTTATAATAGTATTTATAATATACAGTATCAGAGCACGTGTATTTGTCTAATGTGTTATATAACACTATTTCTAGTTCTATTTATATATATATTTTTAAATTTATTGAATAATCAATAGATTTGATCTATTATATAGTCTAAATACATTGAATACTTAATGAACCTAAATTTTTTTTTCATAACATTATATATGACCAAAGAGAATAATAGTTAAAATTTTATAATTGTAAATTGCCAACATTTTTTTATTAGTGATATATTATTTATCATAATTTAATATTTTATTTAAGAAATAAATAAAAAAAATAACATCCAAAAAGTATATGTACATAGTCTTAATTTTTAACTAGGTACTTGAACTTCTTACCTACCACTAGTAAGTAAATTATACTAATATGGATACACTACTTATTCTGATTATCAATAACAATAAATTCCATAAAAGTATAATGCTGTTTATAATTAGATTTATTTATTTTTGCAACAGTTAGTATAATATAGTATCATTGATTCGTTCGTTTACCGTGTTTGTCCACTTTAGTCGATATAGAATTCTTTGCATTTGAATATGAATTTGAATTACTATAAATAGATAAATGGTGTAAAGTGTAAACCTATAGTAAAAAAAAAAGTCTTCTAATTATTTGAAGTCATCGAAACCAATGGAAGGTTACCCTTCACAACCTGATTTCGAATACCTGGACGATGATGGCCGTCCTAGAAGAACAGGTACGTTTTTTTAGTGATTGGAATTCCCTTTAAAAGTGGGATATTGTGGTTCGAACTTTTGCTCTGCATCTAATATCTCTGCATAACTATCAATTGAACTGATTTAATTGTTTTTGTTATATATGATTTTTAGTAACGAAAGTTGAACTATATTTTGTGGTATTTGAAAAGGAACCATTTGGACAGCAAGCTCTCATATAATAACAGCTGTGATTGGATCTGGAGTACTGTCTTTAGCATGGGCTATAGCACAATTGGGTTGGATTGTTGGTCCTACAGTCATGATTCTTTTCAGCTTAATCACTTTGTATACTGCATCATTGCTAACTGAATGTTATCGTTATGGTGATCCTCTTTTCGGGAAGAGAAACTATACTTACGTCGATGCAGTTCAAAACATTCTTGGTAAATTAACACATATTCTCTAGTCTTAGATTTATTTGTTTTATATATTACTTGTTAAGAGTCTAGCACGAAATCTTAGGGGCTCCTTCTCTCAACGTCTCAAATTCGAATTACTTTAAGTGTAAATTACAAATCTTGTGTTGGGTCAACTTCATACAGAGTTTTGCTTGAGACCCAACAAATGGACGGGGATTGATCTCCTTGCAGGGTCTCAGATGGACCAAATATAGTTGACATTTTAACAAATTATTATTATTTTTAAATGTTTCTTTTTTGCAGGCAGGCACCATTACACAGTTTGTGGATTAGTTCTGTACATAAGTCTTTGCTGCAGTGCAACAGGATATACAATTGCAGCTGCCATTAGCATGATGTGAGTTTAATTATATCATTTTTACTATTGGAGGAAAACAATGATTCAAGTGTAAAATATTTCGTAGAATGTAAATTTATACTTTAAAGAATTGATCAATCAATTCAATATGTAAATTTATTAAATTTTTAGTATGAGAATGTGAGAGTAATATAAAAATGAAAAGATATTGATGTTTTGTTTTAATGGAAAATCGCTTTGTATGACAGGGAAATAAAAAAGACCAGATGCCTTCATAAATCGGGAGGAAAAGATCCGTGTAAGATTTCAAGCAATCCATACATGATCGGTTTTGGAGTAATTCAAATTTTCACTTCTCAAATTCCAGAGTTTCATGAAACATGGTTGCTCTCAGTAGTAGCAGCAATCATGTCTTTTGTCTATTCCATAATCGGCTGCTTTCTCGCAATTTACCAAGTTGCAGGTTACACTCCTACCATTTTATAGATACTATATACATATTTATAAACCGTAGAAGAAAATTATTTACTTACAATTTTTGTTTAACGGATTCTTAAATAGTAAACGGTACATTCAAGGGTACCGTAACCGGAGGAAGCAGTGGAAATGTGTCAACAACAGAAAAAGTATGGGGAATTTTCCAAGCTCTTGGTAACATAGCCTTTGCTTACTCATACGCTCAAATTCTCATTGAAATTCAGGTATATACAAAATACATTTTCTTTATGTTATGACATAATTTGGTGACAATAATCACTGAGGAATATATACGAACATTTTGACTACACAGGACACCATAAAAAATCCACCATCCGAAGTAAAAACAATGAAGAAGGCAACAACCTTAAGTGTTATTGTGACTACAGCATTTTACATGCTTTGTGGTTGCATGGGCTATGCTGCATTTGGAGAACAAACCCCAGGGAACTTGCTCACTGGATTTAGTTTGTACAATCCATCTTGGGTCATTGATTTAGCGAATGCAACCATTGTGATTCACCTTGTTGGAACATACCAAGTATATGCTCAACCTGTGTATGCCTTTGTAGAGAAATGGGCAGCAAAAAGATGGCCTAAAACAAAAGTGAATTTCAGAGTTTTTGGTGGTTACAATCTAAATCTATTTAGATTAGTTTGGAGAACATTTTTTGTGATCATAGCTACTTTTGTTGCAATGTTGATTCCTTTTTTCACTGATGTTCTGGGATTTCTTGGAGCAATAGGGTTTTGGCCATTAACGGTTTATTATCCGGTGGAGATGTATATCTTGCAGAAGAAGGTTCCAAAATGGAGTAGGAAATGGATTTGGTTGGAAATCATAAGTCTTGTATGTCTTATTGTATCAGTTTTGGCTGCTCTTGGCTCAATTGCTAGCGTTGTGGTTGACCTAAAGAAATACAGGCCATTCCTCACAGATTATTGAACATCAAGCAACATCTACTAGTGGCTCTTTGTTCTCTCTAATAGTTGGTTACTTCTGCAACTAAAGGTTTTCTTTGCTTCTTTAGTTCAGGTTTTTCTACTTCTTCATTTTAGGGTGTAAAACCAATAGTAAATAACATTTCAGAATCATTGAATTGAAATTTCAAATAGAAAATATATAATTAAATCTATTATGAAGGGCATCACACTCTTCTATAAATGATAAAATGGTGTTATTTTTTAAAAGAATATTACTTTAGTTTTTGTGGTTGGCTGGTACAGCTCTTTTTCCTATTTTTGTCATATTTTTGTTTGTTTGTATTTTGATGTGTTTACTGGTGTAGTCTTTATACATTACATGCTAGTTAGTTTTCAGTTTGCTAGCTTTCTGAATATTTTTTGAATAGTGATGGGAATTTATCATGGATTGGATTGATTGTGGAGGAATCTCAGTGTTGGAAGCGGCCATATAGCGGCGGCCACAACCACAAGAAGTTGAAAAGATGATTCTAGAACATTAGTTTGGGAGGAGTGGCGGAGGGCGTGTGGTAAACTGGTTTCGTTCCTCGCTGCCTTTATTGGTTTGTGGAGTGAGTGCAAAACTTCATCCGGAAAGAGGCCAGCGGTTCTTATTTTCCTTCGCCCTTTCTGGTTCTACGACTAATTATTAGTATAAGAAACCTTTTGTAGTGTGCAATTAATAATAATAATCACAATCATAATAAAGAGAAAAAAAATACTGTGTAAAATAATCATTCATCAAGGTGGATTTGGTCAAATCACAATTAGGTCGAAGATATAATCTGATTAATGAATTTTTATTAAATAATAGTGTAAAATTACTTTATTATAATAATAATAATAATAATAATAATAATAATAATATAATAATAATAATAATAATAATAATAACTATATAAGAAAATACAATAATACTATTAAATTTCAGAAATATATTTTTGGATGCTTCCTAAATAGAATAAATTCATGTGTAAATAAGTCACTTCAAAAAATAGTTACGGTTTAAAAAATAAAATAAAATAAAATAAAAAATAGTTATGGCTTATAATTAATTCAAAGCCTAAAACTACCCATTTTTTTCCATACCATGATGCAAAGGATTAGCCTAAAACTACTCATTTTTTTTCATACCATGATGCAAAGGATTATCCGAAAATTAGAAAGAAAAAAAAGTTAATTAATGTGCAATAGATCCGATATCTCCCAAAACTTAGAACATTTAACTTGACACTCTCCAATTGAACCTAATATCTCCTATTGCGTATGAGAAGACAAGATTGTTCTTATAACAAAATTCACTCATTTTTAAAATTTACAAGATCCACGCACAAATTTGACTACTCTTGTACGATATCGGAAATTTCAAAATGAGTATGTTTTTAATCACAAATTATTAAATTTCTGAGATTTTGTACCGAAAATTTTTAAATTTTTGGTATTAATGAAAACATTTTAACTAGAAATTTCAAAATTTTCGGTTTAAAATCCCCTGAAAATTCCCGAAAATTTTAAAATTTCTGATAATTATAAAAACTGTTTTTACCGAAAATTTTGAAATTTCTGGTAATTATAAAAACTGTGTTTTTTACCGGAAATTTCAGAATTTATGGTAGTTATAAATACTTTTTTTTTACTGAAAATTCTGAAATTTCCGGTAGTTTATAATTTTTTTATTTATTTTTCTCTTCTTTTGCAGTGAAATACAGAGACGTGGACGAGACTATTGCAGGCAGAGCAACATATAGAGAGGCGAGCCAAGTTAAGGCTGCTAAGGCTGAGTCTTCCCAGATACGGGTTGGACGAGTGGTTCCAACCGATTCACACCAGAAACGGTTGGTTGAGTAGGGTCAATTTCGCGCACCTCACAACACTCGACGCCGACCAGTATAATCAGTTGAGAAACCCAGAGATGAGGTGGTCCAGCCATATGTTTTTGTTGCAAATCTGGTGGTTGTTGAGGAGGTTGCTGAAGAGGTGGTTGCTACTGAGGTGATTGTTGATAAGGTTGTTGCTCATATGCTCCACCCAGGTGCTGGTGTTGTTGATCCGACCTCATCTGTTACTGCTGACACAGAGGTTACAACTCATTCTACCGAGCCCTCTATGCACACTAAAGAAGGATTCCCTAGAGGACCCATTGACTGATCGGTGCTTACTGAGTATGCTGACCCTGTGGCGTTACGACTATGGCAGGGAGAGGGATATGTCTTTTTTGTTTAACTTTAATTTGTTTATTATTGTGTCATGAAAGCTAATTTCTTTTTTTAATTTGTTTGTTACATAACTGTATCCCACTAAAGGTGACATTGCACAGGTCAAAGCTGAAGGACTTCCCGAAGATTCTGATGCCTGAGCAGGTGAAGTGAATTGTACGAGAGCTCGAGCTCTTTGATTTTGTACACTGCTCCCTCACCATGCTTTACGCCCCACTACTTACTACATTTATTGAAAGATGGCACAAGGAGACATCTTCATTGCATCTTCTATTTGGGGATATAATTATCACTTTGGATGATGTCTTCTCATTGTTCCATCTCTCCATCAGCAGAAGAATCTGAACCACTTCTGTTCTTAGCTCGTCCCTTGCAAGTATGACTGCTGCATGAGATTTATGAGTTTCTGAAGAGGTCGCGCAAAAGGATTTTGGCTTCAACAAGGGTGTTCACCTTCGTATGTCTTGGCTTCGGGATAGGTACGATGAGTTTGTTGTAGTTGGGAGTTATGAGGCTTCCGCTAGAGTATACATGCTACATCTAATAACATGTACTCTCTTTGCAGACAAGTCAGGTGTTTATATCAATGCTCGATACGTGTTCTTATTCAGTAGCCTCGAGGTTACCAGTTGGGCTTAGGGGTGTGATGCATTGATTATTCTATATACAACACTTGGAATGGCGACAATATTTGAGACCATACAACTTGCTGGTTATTTGAGTCTGTTACGCGTATACTAAAAATTATTACTTGTTGTTGATTTCTTATTTAATTGTTATGAATAACATTTCTTATTTCTTATTTGTTGTGTCTGTGTTTTGATATCAGTGTTGGATATACGAGCATTTCCCTACCATCTGTGATAGGAGGGTGTAGCATTCCCTAATTGGGGCCCCATGGACGAGGAGATGGAAGGGAAGGCAGTCACGTCCCAGTGGTGTTGCTGAGTATAAGAAGAGGCTCGATGCGCTGACTGTAGATGATGTCATTTGGATACCATAAACTGATCATAGAGTCCACCGTGAGTTCGATGAGTCTTCATTATATTCAAGTTATATATGGTGGGAGACCATGGTTGCTAGACCCTTGCTTGAGAGGTGTTTGTGATAGTATGGTTATGTTCAGAGTATCCCACAACCAACTCCGGATATACCATATGCAGGCATTGATTAGTGGTTTCAGAGTAACTTCATCAACTCTAGTCATGCAATTAGAGATCGAGTAGTTACGGTTTAGCACCCTTCGCAGTGTGAGGATAGATACTTAGAGTGGTATCTCATAGTATCACACCCTCACATCATCCCACCTATTAAGGATACTGGTGATGATGTGCCTTCTGATGCTAGGGTACTTGTAGATGACGTGTCGTCGCTGCCTCCTACAACTGATGTCGATGACCAGTAGCGCCTCCAAATGATTATAGTTATTATGGATAACCTCATGGGTTTGGTAAACCCATATGGCGAGGTTTATACTGGATTATCTCGGACTACACACAACCTATGGGGGACCTATTTAGACATCTTTTGTATATTATGTATTATTTGCATATTACTTAGACATCTTCATCATAAATTTTTATTAAATGATATTTTAGATCTCCCATTGATGCAACATCAACATAAACTAACATTTGACAATGGATTACATAACTTAAACATAACTTAAAAATGATAATAAGTAAGAAAACCTAGACACTACCAAATGATTATGTACGCTTCACTATCTTAATTAAGTCATCGACGAACCTTGAAATCTTAGCATCTAACTTAATCAACCCCTTTGTTAACCTACGGCGAAATGATCTCCACATATCTTTCACATCTTCATCGGTCTTCAACTCAATAAGGTTGTATTTCACCTTCCCATCAGTATCAATTTAATCTTCATGAAACTCGATCTTTCTCACGTTTCTTTTTTTCGGTATCATGCAATAATTCATTCAACTTGGACGTCAGATCGGTGAGAGATGTGGTGCCATCCGAAAGTTAGAACTCTATGGGAGGTAAAGCTCCGTTGAAGTACACTTTTGTCTTAATCAAAAATTTAGGAAGAGGTATTTTTTTAGATGCTTTTATTAAACAACAAAAGATCCCCTATTTATACAACTTTGTATTTATTTTGGACCATACAAAATTGTCGTTGCAATCATAACCATCCAAAACCATCGGCAAAATCCTGAGCGTTTAAAATTCAAACAAATAACACTATAGAAAATTTCACTTTGGTTGAAATTTGTGATATCAAATGGTAAATTTCAAATTTCCGGAATTAATTGTAACTTATCGCAAATTTCAAATTTTCTGGTATACCAAAACTTTTGAACAGAAATTTCATTCAACTTTAAGTCAGGGACAATTTTGTCAATTTGAAAGTATAGGGGTGTTAGCTGAAATTTTGATGCTAAGAAGGATTTAAGATGTCAAGGAGAGTTGAAAGAAATATTTGAAGCAAGTCGAGTTTGACTAAGAAGATTTTGGTGGGATTTCGACTGAATATTGGCGAAGGGATTTCCACTTCTACAGGGTGGTATCATTCTAGGACTTAGAATATTTTGGACCTAGTTTGATAATGATTTCGACGAGATAATTTGAAATAAGGTTGATTAACTGTTTTTTAGCCTTATCCATTTCTTGAAGGACATGTGGACGCATGTGAAGGCGAAACACATGCAAGCGAAAATGTGTCGTTCTCTGGAAAAGAGACTGCTTGTTACTGTTACTTTTAATTTAGTATTGAAATTCTGGTAGCTGATCTCAGATGTCC